AAAATAAATTATCTCCTGTCTTGTATGTTTAGTTAATTACTTTGAAAAAGTCTGAAATGGATCACCTACAGGATCTAAAGGTAATTGCTTTGATTCGAAAATCATGTGAGCCGGTAAGTGACGAAATGAACTGGTTGTATACTATTCGTTTAAAGCCTGTTCTGTAGAGCGACCGCCGAAAATGTGTTAAAATTGCGCTTAAACTAGCAGTTTGCAAGTTATTTCATTATGCACTTTTGAATAGTTTTTGTTCGATTATTCGCCCATTCGGTTGATGTTTTTAGGGAGTTTATTCTTTTTAAATAATGTATGTATTATCTTTTATTTTTTCATTGATTCTCCTTAGGCATTAAGATATATAATTGACAAATATGAACCAATGGAGCATCCATATATCTTCATATACTAATTATCTGCCATACAATTCTGCATATTTGTTGCAAACGGAAATTAAGAGAGGTTTACCGTCCGATTTTTAAAAATTATGAACATTTTAAAATTGTAAAACACTTCATAAAACAAAAATTTAATTTCCAATTAGAGAAAAAATTACGGTCTAACCATAAATGGGAAATGTTAATATTTATCAGTAGTAGAATATATAATTATTTTCAGAAAATTATTCATTGTAAGAGGCGTGTTCCAAAATATTACTATTTGTTTAGATAATATTTTATGATACCCCAATAAATAGTAATAAAAAAAAAGTAATATATTCGATTTGCATTTTACATTCTTCTACTTAAATTGTCATCTTGAATCTTTTATTATAACTATTACAAAAACCCTAAATCAAAACAAAAAAAGGCTTGAATGGAAAACATTATGATACAAACAAAGCAAAAAGCTCAAAATTTTATATACCATTATTGTGTTCACATTGTAACACATATTAATTTGCCCCGATTGTACGGCGGTCTTTCAGTGCGATTCAATTAAATGATCAATTAAAGCGAGAATAAAATTATCACGGAAGGCGACGTTTACAGAACGCAAACTACGACAATAACCAGCCATGCCACACCGGCATAGAAACACAAGGACTTTGTGAAAAGAGGGAAGTACAATATAATAAGTGAAATGATTACTATCTAAAAGGACCGAGATACGGAATCAATCCAAAGGTGTAAGGAAAATGGGAGAGAGGAACAAAATACCGTATAATGTGGTTTTTTTGCGGGCTCAAAATTCTGCGGTTTTTTTCCAAAATAATTTTGGCATGTTTTTATTTCTGCGAACTTTATTTCTGCGGCACTTTCTTTGGACAAAACGTGATTTAAATTCTGCGACTCGTGCTCTTATCCAAAGTCTATGTTCACATTTACCCTATCTATTATATTTGCATGTACACGTTCGCATGTGTTCATCGTCGTAAACCCGCAGGGAAACTCTATAGTAATTACAAAGAGTTTATATGGTTTGCTTGCAAACAAATATAATGCCGCAACAATAGAAAGGTAAACATCTTTGATCAGCGGTGAACTGACGTTGCTGAAAAAATATACCCCGGTAGATACTTTAACTCTTTAATAAATTGATAGAAGTTTACCGTGTAAATTCAGATGACAATTAAAGTATACAAACGATTTAGAAGTTAAATGGGTTGGAAATGCCTTGAATTATCTTTATTCTTAAGTAGCCTAATTAACACTAACAACATCCTACAAACACAGATTACATATTCTAGCCGACAGCAATTTTATAACAACTCGAAAACCCGCTATCCGTTAAAATATGTTTGTCTTATTACTTTAAAGAAAACAGGTCCAATGTGGAAAAACATTTCGTAGCAGGTAGAGAAAATATTCTGCGGTTTTAAATTTCTGCCCGGCTGCCGAAAGCTGACCGCAGAAAAACGCAGAAATAAAGTCACCCTGCACAAGAAAAAACAGGGGGTCACTACCACACGAAGGGACCTTATACGGTCAGGAAGTGAGGTGAGGAGGTGAAGGAAAATACTACCATTTTTGGTTACGAACCTTAAAAATCAATACTATCAGTCAAAAATTCAAATCAGAAGGCACAAATCTTAAAATCAGTCAAAACAAATAATCATTAAGAAGTTTCTATTCTGTGAATTTTGCTAACTTTCATTGATGTTTTTTGTTGTTGCTTTTTTTTTGTCTATATGTAGTTAATGCGATACGAATACTGGCGTTTGTGCATCAGCCTTTATCACAAACGAATCACAAAATCGTATTCTAATGAGGAAATTCACAATAAAACAATAATCGCGCGAGCAATGGCGCTATACGAAATACTGAATACACATGTGCATTTTAATTGTGTTATATTTTTTCAGGGCGGGGAGGGGTTACGACGCACCAACACAGTATATGTTAAATGGTGGTGTTCATTTATACGTGGTTATGTCTGTCTCTGTGTCTGTGTCTAAGTCAACATCAGTTCGCAATTGGAAATATAATGTTTTCAGAAATTGAATCCGAAACATCTTGCTTGAATGTGGAATACTTTTTCATTTCTTCAATAATATTTTGACATTCATCATTTTTTTGCAACATATGGTGACAACAGTGAAATTTTAGCACCTTAGTGTACAAAACAGGATGTATGAACTAACACCCGCTTTTCGGCTGTAAGGATCAACTGAATTGACTGAGGATATATTCTCAGAAGAAATGGGAGTACAATCACATCTAGAGCAATAAAACTCCTCATTGTATCCTCGAATGAGGAACGTGGCTTTGATAAGTCATAATCTTTATCGTTTGGCTTTTTGAACGTTCCCAGAACGAGTAATGCACCACTAAATCAGTAAACTGATATTCAATTTCTTGTAAAAGGGTCAAAGCTCCTTCATATTGTTTTGCATGTAATAGAAAGGTACAAAGTGTCAATTTTCCAGCTGAGTTGTTAAGAAAACAGTTTGATCGTAACTTGACTAATAAAGATTGTATGTCTTTTTCAGCATACATTTCACATCCATGAAAATCATTGTAAAATTGTAAACATGTTTTTGTCATGTTGAGTTCCATTATTAGAAACCTGCGCATGTCAGGAAAAATATCAGTTCCATTCAGGATCGTTATTGTGCCCTCTATATTTTGCAGACAGACTTGGAAATCTAAATCCTTCATTTCTGTATATATAAAAAAGCGGCAAAGACTTAGGCAGTTGATCTGAATATGATAATGATAGATATCATTTTTATCAAATGTTGACAATCCCATTTCTAAAAATTGCATCCACATACTATTGCAATTTTGTTGATAATTCAGAAGTTCAAGTTTCAAACAATTCAATTTATCTTCAGGCTTTTGTGTCCATCATATTATCTGCGGGTATGAAATAGTTGTCAATTTTCTTTTCTTCTAGATAAATAATCAGTCTGTCAAAAAGTGCATTTAAACATATGAGCAAATTGTCTTGGTTCCAAAAGCAGCTGTCCGTTTCTTCTATCATCCAAAATATTGCTGTTTTGATAAAATATGTTGGAAACAAATCAGGAAATTTTGGAGTTATCTTACTGTTGAAGAAATGCTTCATTACACTCATGCAAATATGCTGAACTGAATTAAAAGACCATACTAAAAGTCTTTCAGCTTTTGAAAATGATAATCGCCATTCAAGTTCTTTATTTGGTGAATTTGCGTGCCCTACGGGAACCAGGTTAATACCAAGTGCCTTTATTTGATTTATCATGGCCGGTGAAGGCCAGTTATGTTTTCTTTCTCTTCTTACCCAGTCCTCTGCAACAACTGGCCACTCGCTTTTAAATGAAATAGTGATATCTACCTCATGACGCCTCATCAATGACGTGTAGCCCATTAAAACACATGGACCATGGAAATATAGATCTTTCTCTCTGCGTTGGTCGGGGAGTATGTTGGCTGCCTGAGAGTTCCAGTAATCAAGTATCAATGTATTCGATACATAATTAGACCCTTGCGGACATAAAGAATGTAGGCCATTTCCATATATTGAAAACTCACTGAAGTCCTTGGCATTGTGATCATGTTCATATAATAGCTTTGTGTAACCGGGGTGTACATCTGTGAGATCCATAACCAAATGTGTAACTTGATCATTTGAGTTACTTGAATAAGGCATGACATTTACAACCACACCTTGAGCTTCAAACATTACATCAGTGTCTGACTGTGCAATAGGAACGCCCTCTGATCGGCTACCAGAATAAACTATGGAATGACCAAGTATATTGCTGAAAAAATATGTCAGAAACTTTGACCTTGCGATTCGTTTTTCAATTTGCTCTGTCATTAATGGTAAATATTGCGAAAATTCTGACTTGTCATTCATCGTATCACACTTTTTCAATTAACACACTTTGGCAACACTAAACCTCCACGTCTTCTCTGATCAGTTTAGCTTATAAAGTCTTATATCTCAATAATTCTGAAAAAATAAACATGTACAAGTATTACTTGCAGTTACAGGAAGATGTTCGTATGTGCTAAATACGTTCATGTGGTTAATGAAATGAGTACACGGGGGTGACGGAGCTAATGCTGTCAAACTATAAAGAATATTTTGAAGTTATGATATTACGTCATTAGATTGATACAACATCATATATCTAATTATACCTAATTAGCAAAATATATATAACCGTTAATCCATAATTCACATAAACTAACAATAAAATTATTTTGTAAAATTTCTGTTGAGCGTTTTGGAAATAGTCCCATATTTGTTACTGATCAATCGATCTTAATTAACATATATTTGTTAATATATTAGCAATTATGGCCCATTACCAATAGTAAATGTTTAAGAACAGTAACCAATGATGCCTTCATTTCAAATGACCACATTTCTTTTTTCTTTGTAAATATTAATGAAGCCATTGAATTTTGATTACTGCTTAAGTAGGGAGGACCGTTACAGACATATTGAATGCTTTACCCGATGACATCACAAAGGAAATGAAATGCCTAATGACTCACGTAACTTCTTAATTAGGAGGTAATTAATAGAAATAGATATATAGCCATTATAACAGAAAACTTGAAATATAGAACGATTTCTTTTGTTAAGTCATTATCATAGTTTATTGTTATTTCCTCTATGTTAAAGAAATACTATGTTCAAATTTCATAGTTGGAAATATTTATAATTGCTCCACAATCTGTTTGTAAATATAAAATAAACCTGTTTTGACTTCAAACAAAGTAAATATGTTGCGTTTAAAATTCTACATACTATAGGTGATTGCAATATGAACATATAGTGTCATTAAAAAAGAAAATACAATTTTTACTTGACCTGTAATAGGTAACGTAGCTTCCAATACATAATTTATTCATTCTTTTATTCAAATTAGAAATATTCGGTAAAAATTTCATAGATTTCAATAAATTTCTGTGATTAAAATATTTTACGCAAGCATGAACATAGTATATCTTTAATTCGTATAAAAAGTTTATAATTTATATGAATATAATTAATATTGCAATAAGTTATTAACATTTGTAACCATTCTGGACATTGGTCTTTAATGTAAAAGTATGAGCTTTTAAATGTTGCATTTTTAAATGGTAACTTAAAACAACTATTTTGTTAATCAGCTTATCACTCTGGCAATGTTTATGTATTACATGTATAGTTGACACTTATTCAAAAGGCGTTAAAATCTTTATATTATCAAACTTAACTATATTTCGGACATTCATACAAAAAATTACAAAAGTTTACCATCTTCTTTGAAATTTATTGACAAAGTTCAACTTTTGTACCGGTTTTATACAAAAACAACAACAATTATGTCTTCATTATCTGTAGAAAAGTTTCACTTATGTCATATTTATTTACTTGAAAATTGATAATGAAGAACCATTATTTTGAAATAAGTACATATAAATCAATGTTCAATGTTTATGAAAAGATTTTGTTTGTTTATTGAGACAGGTATCTGTACATCAAATAAGAAAAAGACGGGGTAAGAAAACACGTCAGATTTTGTCAAATGTAGTCGGGGCATCAAATATTTTTAACAATGATTATCTAGAAACTATTTTAACATTTGTTCAAAATCTAAAGAAGGTTTACCATGCTGATTTTAAATTACAAACAATGTTGAATAGTTTTTTGCTCTATTTTATAACGTAATATAACGTAACCGGTGCATTTCTGTTTATTGTACAGTTGTGTTAAGAGAACCATCAAAACGGTGAAACTGGTATAGCTTTTCTGAAAAGAAGTTTTTTTTAAGAATGGAATCGGTGAATTTCAACCCTATTTTCGTCAGCTTCAGAATGCAATTATTATTATTACAAAACATGTACAAAAAGAAGCATACATGGGCATATTTAAACTCAAATCATTATACAAATCTGGAAAAAGGTGATCATTCGAAAGCATAATATCTATATTATCTCGTTAACTTTCAAATATAGTCTCCTCTCTTTATCTGTATTTTCAGATACATCGATGTCAATTCATTTTGATTCATCAAGATTGAACAGCTCCGCTGAAACAAAATCATCAAATATGCCCTATTTTCTCTTGAACCTGTCATTCAACCGTTAGCAAATAATTAACGTTAGCAATTCCAACGTAATGACGTAGTGCTAGTAAATGATTATAGGGTTATAGAAATAATTTGTGTGGATGTTTCAAGGACAGACATGCTTTATGAGGACGTTATTTAAGAGGATCGTCAACCGAAGTATGCTACTTGCTTAAGGTTCACATTGTTTTTATTATTGTGTTTGATGTAACACATTGAAAGGGATGGGATTTTACGATGTTTAATCATTACAGAGGCTGTTTGCTGGAATTTTTTATGCTACAAAAATCCATATATTGGCTGTATTTGATTTTCATTTCTGTAAATCTGCCCTTACATGAGAACGGAACTTAGTTTTATTATAAATACAAGGTACTTTTATTCCTTCAAACATAATATACTATTATATTACGTTTAGTTAAAAGGGATGCGGTAAGTGAATCATATATCTTAAAATAAATTATCTCCTGTCTGTATGTTAAGTTAATTACTTGAAAAGTCTGAAATGGATCACCTACATGGAGTCTAATGGTAATTGCTGATTCGAAAATCATGTGAGCCGGTAAGTGACGAATGAACTGGTTATTACTATTCATTAAAGCCTGTTATGTAGAGCGACCGCCGAAATGTGTTAAAATTTGCGCTTAAACTAGCAGATTTGCAAGTTATTTCATTATGCACTTTTGAATAGTTATGTTCGATTATTCGCCCATTCGGTTGATGTTTAGGGAGTTTATTCTTTTAAATAATGTATGTATTATCTTTATTTTTTCATTGATTCTCCTTCAGGCATTAGATATATAATTGACAATATGAACCAATGGAGCATCCATATATCTTCATATACTAATTATCTGCATACAATTCTGCATATTTGTGCAAACGGAAATAAGAGAGGTTTACCGTCCTGATTTTAAAATATGAACATTTTAAATTGTAAAACACTTCATAAAACAAAATTATTTCCAATTAGAGAAAAATACGGTCTAACCATAAATGGAAATGTTATATTATAGTAGTAGAATATATAATTATTTCAGAAAATTTATTCATGTAAAGAGGCTGTCAAATATACTATTTGTTTAGATAATATTATGATACAATAAATAGTAATAAAAAAGTAATATATTCATGTTGGCATTTTACATTCTTCTACTTAAATTGTCATCTTGATCTTTTATTATAACTATACAAAACCTAAATCAAAACAAAAAAGGCTGAATGGACAACTATGATACAATACAAAGCAAAAAGCTCAAAATTTTATACCATTTATTTGTCACATTGTAACACATATTAAATTTGCCGATTGTACGGCGTCTTTCAGTGAGATTCAATTAAATGATCAATAAAGCGAGAACAAAATTATCACGGTAAGGCGACGTTTACAGAACGCAAACTCCGACAATAACCAGCCATGCCACACCGGCACAGCACCCAGAAGGCATAGAACACAAGGACTGTGAAAAGAGGGGAAGGACATATAATAAGTGAAATGATACTATCTAAAAGGACCGATACGGGAATCCAAAGGTGTAAGGAAAATGGGAGAGAGAACAAAATAGGAAGTGAGGGGGGAGGGGAAGGAAAATACTTACCGTTCACGAACTTTAAAATCAATACCAATCAGTCAAAAATTCAAATCAGTTCAGCAAAACTTAAAATCAGTCAAACAATAATCATTAAGAAGTTTCTATTCTGTGAATTTTGCTAACTCAAGTATTAAAGTTTAATCATTGATGTTTTTTGTCTATATGTAGTTAATGATACGGCGGTATTGGATACGAATACTGGCGTTTGTGCATCAGACTTTATCACAAACGAATCACAAAATCTTATTCTAATGAGGAAATTCACAATAAAACAATAATCGCGCGAGCAATGGCGCTAAAAGAAATACTAAATACACATGTGCATTTTCATTTTGATATTTTTTTCGGGGTGGGGAGGGGGTTACGTCGCACCAACACAGGATATGTTATAAGGCGCTGTTCATTTATACGTGGTTATGTCTGTCTCTGTGTCTGTGTCTAAGTCAACATCAGTTTGCAATTGGAAATTATGTTTTCAGAAGTTGAATCCGAAACATCTTGTTTCAGTGCCGAACACGTTTTCATTTCTTCAAGAATATTTTGACATATATCATGATTTTGTAACAAATGATGACAGTGAAATTTTAACACATTGGTGTAAAAAACAGGATTTATAAATAACACCCGTTCTTCGGCTTTAGGAATCGATTGTATTGACTGAGGATAGATTCTCAGAAGAAATGGGATTACAACCACATCTAAAGCAATAAAAGTCTTCATAGTATCCTCGAATGAGGACCGTGGCTTTGTTAAGTCGTAATCTTCATCCTTTGGCTTTTTCGAACGTTCCCAGATCCTGTAATGCACAACCAAATCAGTAAACTGATCTTCAATATCTTGTAAAAGATTCAACGCCTCCTGATATTGTTTTGTGTACAATAGAAACGTACAGAGTATTAATTTTCCTGTTGAGTTGTTTAGGGCGCATCCAGTTTGTATTTTCTTTTCTATACTTGTCATGTCTTTTTCTGAAGGCATTTCGTTTTTGTAACAGTCATTGTGAAACTGTAGACATGCTTTGGTTATATTGATTTCACTTATCAAATGTCTACGCATGTCAGGAAAGATATCGGTTCCATTAAGGATTGTTATGGCTCTATCTACATTTCGCAAACAGGTTTGATAATCTAAATCCTTCAGCTCTGTATATATAAAAAAGCGAGAGAGGCTTAAGCAATTTATCTGCATATGATGATAAGAAATGTTATTTTCACCAAACGTTGACATTTCAGTTATAAGCAGTTTCATCCATAAACTATCCGAATTGTGTTTATACTTCAGAAGTTCAAGTTTTAAACTATTCAGTTTATCTTCTGGCTTTGCGTCCATCATATTATCTGCGGGTATGAAATAGTTGTCAATTTTATTACTTTCTAGGTAAGTAACCAATTTTTCAAAGAGTGCGTTCAAACATGCGAGCAAATTTTCTTCAATCCAAAAGCAGATCTCTGTTTCTTCTATCATCCAAAATATTGCTGTTTTGATAAAATATGATGGAAACAAATCAGGAAATTTTGGAGTTATTTTACTTTTGAAGAAATGTTTCATTACACTCATACAAATATGCTGAACCGGATTGAAAGACCATACTAAAAGTCTTTCAGCTTTTGAAAATGATAATCTCCATTCAAGTTCTTTATTTGGTGAATTAGCATGCCCTACGGGAACCAGATTTATGCCTTGTTCCTTAATTTGATTTATCATGCATGAAGAAGGCCAGTTATATTTTCTTTCTCTTCTTATCCATTCCTCTGCGACTACTGGCCACTCGCTTTTTAATGAAATAGCGACATCAATTTCATGTCGATTCATCATTATTGTGTACGCCATAAGTACACAAGGACCATGGAAATATAAATCTTTCTCTCTGTGTTGATCAGGGAGAAGAGAAGCTGACTGGGAGTTCCAATAATCAAGTACCAATGTGTTTGATACATAATTTGATTCACATGGACATAAAGAATTTAAACCATTTCCGTAGATTGCAAACTCACTTATGTCCTTGGCATTGCAATCATTTATATACAATAACTTTGTATAGCCTGGGTGTACACGTTTGAGGTCCATAACTAAATGTGAAACTTGATCAGAAGACTTTTCTGAATAAGGCATTGTATTCACAATCACACCTTGTGCTTCACACATAAAATCAATGTCTGACTGTGCAATAGAAACACCTTCCGATCGGCTTCCTGAAAAAATTATAGAACGACCAAGTATATTGCTTAAAAAGTATGTAACGTACTTCGATCTTCCTATTCTTCTTTTAATTTGCTCTGTAATTAATTGGAAATATTGCGACAACTCTGGCTTTCATTCATCGTATCACACTTTTTCAATTTACACACTTTGCCAACAGTAAACCTCCACGTCTTCTCTAATCAGTTGGCTTATGACGACTAATATCTCAACAATTCTGAAAAGAAATAAGCATGTACATGTAGTACTATGCAGTAACATGAAGATGATCGTATGTGCTTAATACGTTCAGGTGGCTATTGAAATGAGTACATGAAACTAATGCTGTCAAACTATGAAGAATGTTTTGAAGTTATGATATTTCTTTATTAGATTGATACAACATCATATATCTAATAAGACCTAATTAGCAAAATATACACAACCGTTCATCCATAAAACACGTAAACTAACAATAAAATTAGTTTGTAAATTTTTTGTTTAGCATATAGGAAATAGTCCAATATTTGTTACTGATCAGTTTATCTGAATTAAAATATATTTGTTAATTTGAAAACAATGATGGCCCATTATGAATAGTAAATTTTTCATTGCAGTAACCAATGATGACTTTCATTTCTAATGACCACATTTCTTTTTCTTTGTAAATATATATGAAGCCATTGAATTTTAATTACAGCTTAAGTAGGGAGGACCGATACAGACATATTGAACCCTTTACCTGTTAACATCACAAAGGAAATTCCTAATGACTCGCGTCAGTTCTAAATTAGAATGGAATTAACGGTAATATATTTATAGCCATTTTAGTAGAAAACTTGAAAAATAGAACGATTTCTTTTGTTAAGTCATAATCATAGTTTATTGTTATTTCCTCTATGATAATTTGTATACAAAGTATATAATCAATTTGAATATAATGAATATTTCACTAAGTTATTAAGATTTGCAACCATTCTGGACATTGATCTTTGGTATTGTAAAAGTATGAGCTTTGTACTTAAACTGGTAACTTAAAACTATTTTGTTAATCAGCTTATCACTCTGGCAATGTGATTGTTTATGTATAAGATGTAAAATTGACACTTATTCAAAAGGCGTTTAAATCTTTATATTATTAAACTTAACTACCATTTCGGACATACATACAAACAATTACAAAAGTTTACCATCTTGTTTGAAAATTATTGATAATTAAAGTTCAACTTTTTCATCAGTTTTATAACAATTTTATCTTTATTATCTGTTGAAAAGTTTCACTTATTTCATGCTTCTTTACTTGAAAAGTTATATTGAAGAACTATATTTTTAGAGTACATATAAATCAATGAACAATGTTTATGAAAATATTTTGTTTGTTTATTGAGACAGGTATCTGTACATCAAATAAGAAAAAGATGGGATAAGAAACCCCGTCAGATTTTGTCAAATGTAGTCGGGGCATCCACATATTTTTAATAATGATTATCTAGAAACTATTTTAACATTTGTGAAAAATCTGAAGAAGGTTAACCATGCTTATTTTAAATTGTAATCATCTAAATTGTTTATGCTACCTTATTTCACACATTTCAAGTCAAAAATATTACAAACTTTTAATAGTTATAAATTATAATCTAATAAAACAAAAAGAAGGGAAAAAAGACAAATATTGAAGAAAAAAATATTGCCTCTTCTGTGGTTTGAACCCACGCCATTTCGAAACTGTCTCCTCACTGAAATGAATACTCTCCAGAAAGGAGATACTGATTTAGGCATATAATACCTTAAGCCAGCATTCATTCAATTCAGTCTATTGCCTCACGTCTTATTGATTGTTTATGGCGGTCGAATAAACAATTAGCTTTACGTCGTGTAAATTTCAGTTTTAAATGTAAACCCTACCTGTGTAATCAAAATCATAAATTGTGTATTGGGTATTGGTCTTTCTTTACGATAGTATTTGTGAATCACCGTAATCGAAGTCAGTAGGATGAATATAAATGATGTATAATACCAATCAATATACATGTATTAAGTATATGTAACTTAATATGCAGATCATATATGACAAATAAACTGTCGTCTGCTATCGGGACGTGTTCTGCTCAGATTATCCCGTATAATTTCTTCCATTCCGATTTTAAACATATTTATGCAAATATTAAACAAGATGAGAAAAACATACAGCTGTCTTAAATAAGATTTCAAAATATCTGAAATCATGCTATTAAGAAGTATGATAGAATAAAATTAGTAGAGGAAAAAACAAAGAGAAATTTAATAAGACTTTTACATAGTTAAATACTACTAGTCCGTTAAACTTCCCCCCAAACACTCGGTAGAATGACATTTAAAATAAGGTGTTTAAATAGAAATGACACTAGTATATTTTATTACTTTTCGCTTGAGTACACATTTTATAAATAGACATGAATTATACATTGCGTTGTTTATTTTGTGTATCAAAGCTGCACAACCTCTTGGGATTTACTTATGAGAAACACGACAGCCATAAATGGTATTTATTAAGTACAATTTAATACCATTTTGTAGTGAAGGTCTATAAATAGAAATACTAATACATTCGAAATGAATTGAAACTTGATCTAAAATCAGATTGGGCTAAGGGTATTATAAATAATTAATAACAACATTTTAATTTCTTTAAATAAAAATGAAATGACTTCGATTTTAGAATAATATTATTCAAAATTAAAGTAGCACTGCGATTTTAATAATTTCGAAGTATTGCAGCTGCACTTTAAAGTAAGCAAATAATTACTTATATAGAAACGTGTAAAAACGTTTAAACATATGCATTTGGATATTAGCAATCTAGTTGCAGTTAGGATAGTTTAATGAAAATACAAAGTCGATGAAGCTGTAGTGTCAACCATGTACATTGTTTTAATTCATTGGATGGGATAAGAGACTGGTGATGACATCCATTTTTCTTGAATGTTATATCGTATTTTTGTTCAATAGTTATATAACAAAACTTCTCAAATACGAAGCAGATAACATATAGTGATGTCACTATCATTGTTTCTCTCATTGTTACTATTGTTTGATACATAATAAGCAATTACAGGACTATTTATCAAATTTTCACCCATCTCCTGCTTTACCCATTAATAAATTAATTAATCCCTTATAAAGAATTGAATACTGTATACTGTATGTTCAATTGAGAATTGTTAATTGTTTCTTTGTGCTCTATAAAGACAAACATATTCTTGTATATCGGTAATATACATGGAAACAACAATTAAAGTAAAGAGAAGACTGTGCAGCATAGAAAATCCCTCGTTCATAAAATAACAACACAATATTACAAAATGGTTATGCATTTATAATTTCAAAAGTTTAAAGAAAATGAAGTTAGAAAAACATTCTAGATATTTTAGATCTATATTATTTTTTTTTTGGAAAATAAGATAAGAATTTGTTTTAGTTTAGCAACATAATATAACAAAATAATAATACATTCATACCATTAAAGTTAAAAGATAATGGAGTAAGAATTTAATTACCAAATATTTATTAAGATCTATATATTTTGGAAAACAATATAAGAATTTGTAAGCATAAATGTTTGTTATAGTTTACTAAATAAAGAACTATATAGCATCAACAGCAGGGTGAGCAAACAAACTCATTTAGTTCAAAGAATTACATTTATTTATGTTAAGTTAAGGTTGTTCTTAATGCTTTAAGATATTAAACTAATGTTTAAGATAATACTGGATGTAAAATATATTAATACGCCAGTTTTGGCGGCAATATTTTACATACGGGTACATTAGGAACTACATTAGTATAAATAGTGACTAACGTCGTGTTATCACTATCGAAGCTTTAGACACACTGATAGAACGACACGTTTATTTGAATTTATCTTCCCACGCACCCACCCATTATCACAGCTTTGTTTGTTAAAATAGAAATATGTAATGAGATTCTAATTTTGCTTTGTATTTTTTTGAGTTGACAATTTTGGTTATTGTCTTTTAAGAAGTACGAGTGAAGTGGTCCTGACTGTGGAGGTTTTTAAAACCTTGTTTATCATTTGTGTTAAGACAATGTACCCAAGAGGAATGGATAGTGATTCACGGAACCACAAATGTGTCTATGTGAAATGAAGTGAGTAGATCGGAGATACGGGACCTTTCATTTATTTTTTCACATAACTAAATGTTAAGTGCAGGGACACATATACTTAAATCATTATAAGTATTTTTATATATATACAATTCGTCGATGAATGTGTGTGTTACAGTGTATTGAAATAAATATTCAGTGTGTCATTGCTACTCCTATAACGTGTTTGTTATTTATTATAACATTAATGATAAGATAATAAATAATTTATGTTTGGCTGGATGAAATGAAAGAAAACATAATGATACTTTTTAAAAACAATTTGGAATTACAACTGTGACAAAATAAGTATTTTTTAGGATTTTACCAGGTCGTTAACATTTAGCAATACTGTACTTGTGTATTTCATATTACATGTTTGAATTCAAATATGACCCTCGGGACATCAAACTAATCATCGTGTTTTTTAAAGCAAATTTCCCATGTGTATCATGAAGTAAGATATGTATAAAACCTCTGTACTCGGTGACATTTTTATAGTTTATACACGAAATATGAATCTGTTGAATAATTCCTTAAGTCGTCAATTGTATGGCATGTGTTAATAACAAGGTTAAAGAAGTACTATATCATAACAAGCGTATGTTGTAAATGTCAAAATTCTAATACTATAAACATCAATCAGATATATCATGGATAGATTTCCCTTGAGTAACATATGAATAGAATCATGTTAACATGTAAACAGAATTTCAATATTCATCAATGAAATAAACTAAAGACTTATTAATTCCAAGCCGTCAAGGACCTGTTTACGCGGCTTCTTAAAAAACTTATAAATAATAAATTAGCCCTCTTTAAGAATATGTTTATATTAAAGTACGAAATCATTTGAGATCAATGTTGGATGTCACAATAATATCCACTTTTAATTCACTTACGTTACCATATAAGGTTATCAAAGTTACCACTTAAGTCGATGAACATTATTATTAAAGGCTATGTCCTATAATTATTTAAATTTATTTGAGGATTTAGTTCCTGCCAACTAGATAAGATTTTTTTATAAGCATGTTAATAAAAGACTCGTTTATTTTACAACTAAATTATATGGAGCCAATGCAAAATGTGGCTTGATTAGACATGCACTTTCCAGTAATGCCCATGAACAAGCACATTTTGATCGAACCTGCGATATTTTCAATATTGTCGTTTTGGGCGTTTACTAGGCATTCCTTTTTTTCTCTATAATTGTAAATACGTTATTTAATAATATGATACTGCTTATTGGCAGAATATACATGTATTCTTAATATCAGAGCGAAATATTGACAGATAGAAAATTAATGGCATAGAGCACTTATACGTACTTTAAAATTGCCACGTCACTATGTCATTCTCACACATGATCACATTTTCATAGGTTGCATTTTCTTTATCTGTCATGTGTTCGCCATTCTCATTTCAGTTATTCCGTTGAATCGTTTTCCTTTCAACTGATATTTCTAGTTATATAGGCATTAATTATAATAATTCCAATTTGTTTTGAGTATTTTGTTCCGTTATAAAGGTTAACTATCAATAGCAAAGAGCTTAGTTGATATTTGGCTTGTCATGTTGTATTTTTGTAGTTTTCAGGGATCATTATTTCCAATCCGTTGAGTACTGCTGAATAATGCTGTAAGAGCTGTTGCGCTTTTCATTTGATTATTTAACTATTTTACTCGTTATAAGGAAACAGCATAGCAGTTTTCACCTTGAGTCTTGGTTTTATTCAAAGGCGATAACTATGTCTCAACTTAATATGCGTAACCAAGGTAACCGTCCCTGTGATGTAAGACAGAGTTTAAGGCCATGATTCTCAACAGAATCTCTATTCTGTTTGAAGTTTTATAATTATACTTGCATGTCGAAAAGACATTTGCGTGCAAGATATGATCGAATTGTCTATCTGTATAAATAACGCGACGTTGTAAATGTCTGACATTTAGTTTTTCTGCTTTAAAATTTATCAAGTGAAAGCATGTTAAAGTACGCGTTTACATAGTTACAAACATATTTGTTTTCGTGAAGTACATTTAGCATGAATGAATAGGAAATTATCATAAGTCTACTAAATAATGTTATAAGAAAGTAATGGTAGATGGTTAAAGTGTATTTGCATTTCGTTTGATGGTTGATATTTGTGTTGTGTTTCGATTTTTGTTGTTGTTGTTGCCTTCTCTTATTGTCTGTTTTTTTTGTAATTTCTTAATCTTCTTAACAGTGACTGCAAAATACTAAAATCATTTATGGTCCAAATTCAGCGTAGGGTATACAATCCAAACGTAAAGAATGAATCAATTTATATTTTATTCTTATTTCAAAATACAAAATACACAATGTATCAAATATATTCATCAGGTCAAAAGGTCAACAGTACAGACACTTTACTCGTCAAACTGTAATTATATTGTTTATATTTAACATGATAAAAGCTGATTAATTACTTTTAAATCGACTTTTTTTTTTTTTTTTGTTTGCGCATGCGTTGTAATGGCGGTGTAATTTTTTCTTCTCAGTAAATCGGATAATAAAAAATTAATTTAACAGTCAAAACGGATATCTTTTAATT